GAATAGAATCTTGTACGGCTTCTGATTGGATGATACAGGATTGGTATAACTTTTGTTTAAAAGCTTATCAAATTAGGTTTAAAAAATCCAGAAAATCAAATTCAATTGTACAAAGTATAGAAAATATATTTCATTTCTGCACGCCTGAGCCATTAAAAATCTGCCTTTTTCATTAAGCGAAAAAAAATAGACGATGTTTTTCAACTGCATTTTTTTTGCCGCATGACCATATATATTTTTTGGTTGTTATGCAACCCTGGCATTTCTAGTAACAGGAACTGCTACTTGTTTTTTCCTAGTTTGTGTAGTCTTTTAGAAATAAAATACGGAACACCGCTGGTACCCTATGGAAAATGCATTACGAATAATTGCGCTCTTGTAACCTATAGGAAAATGACATTTTTTTATAAGGCTTTAAAAAATGTTAAAAATAGTCATTTTTCTTGGAAAAAAAGCGAAACAGTAATTTATGGGGTCAAATGGACTTTTCATCAGCGTGCATTCAAGCTATAGTCTGTTTCCTATTTGTATTGATTTCAACAATAGGTATTGAAAACTAGGGTGGGCTCGAATGTCGACACAGTGTGAAGAGAATAGAACGTTTTTGTGATATATACTGTTTTATTGGGTAAAGCATGTATATATCATGAATTTGGAGATACATTTTGGTTTTTAAACATTATGATCGTGACTCAGTTGTTTTCTAGCAAAAAGCTAATTTTTTGAAAATTGGCAAACAGAGCCCCTAAGCAAACACCAATGATTGAGTTGAATTGCAAAGTAAAAAAAAAATTAAACCTGGCATTAAATATTGAAGTAAAAGAATAGTTTTTCATGTCAAAGTAGTAATATTTTCATTTATTCGAAATTTGGAAAAACTATAGTCTGTTTCAAAAACGTGTTTTTTCAAGAAATGATTTCATTTAAAGCCATTCTTCAAAATTCTATGTAGCTTTTCCATATCAGAACGGTTTTGTCGGCAATATGATCAGTGCTGGTTGACCTTTAAAAAATTAGGGCAGTAAATAATAATTACTACCAAAAACATGAAACAACCAATACAATAAAAACATTTATTAGGCTAATGAAATGGATTCACACAACACAACAGTTCAATACTATTCAATAAACAAATTTAAGAATAACCAATACAGAAATTCAAAAATTGTTAATACATAAAATTAACCCTTAAACCAGTAGAGAAAATAACGAAATACCCATAAATAAAAATAGGCACGGGTGGGCGGGTTAAAAAATGTTCTCAAAACTATCAAAAATTGTTGATCGACGCTTCAACTCAAATTTCAAAAATAATATATAATAAGAACTAAGTGTTTACCGTGTGAAAACAAATCTTGGAGTGAAGTAGAAAGGTATGTAATTTAACAGGTAAACGAAAGCGAGTAGAATTCAACTAATAATCCAAAAAGGAAAGTTATGACAAAATCAAGATGACGAAAAGAATGTAGCATTTAAATAAAAAAATGCGTTAGGAATAGAAAAATAATAAAATTCTAGCAAAAATATAAATTTCTTTCTCAGTAATTTATCATTTTTAATAAAGTAAAAATTTCCGCATTCTCTTCTTGTCCTTTTGAACAGTAACGTATTTCGTAAAAAAATCGGTTCAAATTTTAGACCGGATCGGCGTCCAATAAATAATTCTCAAAATTCAGAGAGTGTTGAGATAATGTTTTGAAGCTGTGATATGAGCTAGATAGACGCTCGTGCTTCATATGGCATGTGCGCTTGATTTTAGAAAAATATTTGCATTACCGTTTTGGAAAATGACATTTTTTTTAATAAGGCTTTGAAAAATGTTAAAAATAGTCATTTTGCTTGGAAAAAATGCGAAACAGAAATTTATGGGGTCTAATGGACTTTTCATCAGCGTGCATTTAAGCTATAGTCTGTTTCCTATTTGTATTGATTTCAACATCTGAAACTAGGGTGGGCTCGAATGTCGACACAGTATGAAGAAAATTTTTTTTTAGTTTCTCAGCATATTTTTTCAGGTTTGCTGGAGTTGAAATAAGAGACCCCGTGAGCGGCACTATGTTTTCAGCACCACCTTTCTTCAAGGCGCTGTAGACGGCACTGCAACTTCTTAAAAACAATATGATTAGTGTTGGTTGTTTTGAAAAGTGTAACAAAATACTAAAGTCTTATCTTACCTGCGTTGGGACCTCCCTTAGAGCGTCTAGGTCAACTTTGTTTCCAATCAATGCACATTTCAAGTCTCTAGGTCCATATTGTTGTAGCTGTAACAGCCAATTCTCTACATTCTCAAAAGATTTATTACGTGGATAATATTACGCAATATCGCTAGCTGCAACTTTTCGGGGAAGCCATTGTTTGTATTTAAAAATGTCATGAGAAAAAAATTTGGTACCAAGAAAAATGATGAAACTGTTTACCATTTCATAGTTGCTTACATTCACGTCACTTTGGCATTGGGGATAAACCGTTCCTACAAAAAACAAAGATCCGAATGATTTGTAAAGAGGAAATTACATGTATTGGATAAATCTGGATACGTACGATTTAAACAACTATTTTAAGATATATTACAAAAATACTTCAATGTTTTCATATCTCACGCAATAAAACTAAAAATAGCGCACCAATTGAATCATGATATTATTTAGGAAGCAAATTAACTCAGTATTTTCTGAAAACACTAACATTTTTTTTTCTTAAAAAAAAGCTTATAATTTTGTTCTCAAGATGCGTGATCTGTGTTACAAAAGGTTATATTTTCGTGTTAATGTCCAGATTGTATATGCATATGAAATACAAAACAGGGAGAAAAGATACTAAAGGGACATTCAAACTCATAAGTCGACAATAAACTGACAACGACATGGCAAAAAAATAAAAAGACAAACAACAGTACACAAAACACAAAATAGAAAACTAAAGACCGAGCAACAAGAACCCCACCAGGGCCTCGGACAAGGAAAGCAGATCCTGCTCAATGTGTGGCGCATTGTAACTGTTTTACTATGCACTTGTTTGACATAATCTGCAATTAAATGATTGTGGCATAACTTCTGAATTAATTAAGTAACTGGAATCTCATACAACATGTTATTAATTGATAAAACATACAAATGTTTAATAGATAGCTATTCGATGAAGAGGTTCAAAAGGTAATAGCTGATGTTGACGAATATCTTCTGTAAAAGGAATTACAGATATGAGCCTTATGCAAGCCATATCTTCCAGAAAATACCCTTTTCTATTTTTCTTAGAAGCAATTGAATGAACCTGATAAAAGATTGTTTCTTTTACGACTTTTTATGAATTTCTTGTTTCGGAAAACAGTTTTTTTCATGTAATTTGTTAATTTTGTAGTTTCACTTTCATTTATATATGCTTGTACAACACCAATTGTCAAAGGCGCGGTTCTTACATTCTTCACTACTAACAGTAATTGTGAGTATCTCAATAAACATATAAGTGCAGGCAATGCCATCTTTTACTGTTATATACATAAATAGTGTAAGGACATTTTGTTAATATGGTTTCTCGATATTTTTCTGATCTGTTTACAGAAATGGTGGTATATAATATCTTACATAGAAATCGTCATTCACATTACAAAATTTAATTATCCTATTTTTTATTTCTGTTTCTATGATAAAGGTAACAAACATAATCTGAGGAAATTGCAAGAACTCCAAAAGTAGCAAAACCGTGTGCATCGACAGGATAAACGTTACCTGATATGTACGCACCACCCGCCGTACGAAATCAGACTCACAATCGTCAAAATTACAGATCAAACGACTATACTAGTAACTGACGATCTAGGAACCGGAAAAATGTTCCTAATAAGTTAAGACACAAATACATTGTATCGGTAAACCAATTCCTTATGGATACAGTGAATTTTTTTTTTAATAGAACATCTTGACGATCCGGGTATACATCGTTCTTTAAAATGATTTTTGTGAATTTTAAATATCCAGTATAAAGATTAGATTATCAGCATTTTTATTTCATGTCACATGTGCTGTTTATGCCATGTCGAGACGATACGGTATTTGTTTTGATCTTTGTTGAAGGCGCTCTACTCTGACCTATAGGTCATTACATTTGGACTCTGGAAAGACCTATCCACTTTCGCTTTGGTATTAGTGATCTATATTTATCAAATAGACTATTATCATATTACCGACTTTTGACTCCGGATTATATAATTTTTCTACGGGTTACGTACTCTGCAGTAGGACATCCTGGTACTCGGTCAAGTAATAGCAAGTTAAAAAAGTAAATTAAAGCTTACATTCGGTTCAATTTGTGGAAAAAAATAACTGTTTTATGGTCTCTATACATCACAAAATCATCGAAAAACAGTAAACTTTCCGCCTATAATGCACCGATTATAGGTTTTGTTTGTCCTTACTTGACCGAGTACCAGGATGTCCTACCACAGAGAAGGTAACAGTCGAAAAATTATAATTCGGAGTCAAAAGTCGATAATATGAAAATGGTCTATTGTTTAAGATATTCCGAAATTTTACGAAAACAAATTATCATTGCATTATTACAATTTAACGTCAACGTCGACACTACGAAAATATAATGCTAAAATATAAAAAAAAAAGATAACCACTAGTATATTGAAGTGAAATTTCACTCGTAACCAAACACGGTGAGCTGCTTTTTTCTGTAAATGACCGAATTCAAATTTTGAAGAAATAACATTGCGTTTGAAATAAATGTTTACAGTTTTTAAGCTTTCACAAGAAAACATATAAATGAGAAAAATATGTCAATATTCTAAATATAAAATTGTTTCTCTGCCACCACAACATTTTTGCAATTGCTGTTTTTGAACAATTGATAATACAAGTAGAAATATGGTGAGATATTTTATAAACCAATTATTCAATGTGCTCTTATCCTAAGCAATTGCCTTCATCCATTCAATAATCATGATAATATCAAGGAAGTAAACTTATTTTGTCCTTAATTTTGTAGTTTCACTTTCATTTATATATTATCCATTGTTTTCTGTACAAAGTAAATTTTCTGAGGCACATTGACTTCCTCTACATTTTTTATTACAGTAAATGTAAGTATTTTAATAGTTTAATAGACATGATAATTGAAGCCAATTTTATCGGTAACTGTTATTTTCAATATAGAAATAGGGTGAAGAAATTTTGATGAAAGAATACCTCAATATTCGTTTTATATGTTAACAGAAATTGTACTATATTTTCATAACGTAAGCATCTTCATTACATTTTGCAAATTATTTATTTATATCATTTGATTAGTTATCTTGTAGATTTTTTTTAAGAGATTTTACTTTCTTCATGACGATGTGCCCTTCTACTCAAAGACTATAAATTTTATTTCAAGGTACTGAATGCATTTAACTATAAAATTTAAAACAAATACTCAAACATAAAGAGATACATATGTTAAATGAAATTGGTTTTGTTTTCGTCGTCGTTACCATTTGTCAATCAGCATAGACATTTGTTGATCATTCAGTTTTATAAAGTAACATAAGCTTCGAAGATATTTTGTAAGATTGCAAATACAAGCATGGAAATAAGTTTTGCAACCTTTGGTTAATACTATTTAATATCTCGTATTCCAACTACATTGATTTTCGCTAAAACATCTATCTTAATCATTTTTTCAAGGAAGCTATTTACCCATTATTTTCTGACAATGCAATCGGGAAAATGAATCGTTATTAGTAAGTTCTGGAAATACAAATTGCTTCCGCTTTATTTTTTTTAACACATTTTTAACGATATTGAGAAATTGTACGAAAAAAAATATTCATTTAATTTAACGCTAACTTTCAGTACCATCATATATATATACACATATTGATATATACACACATATATATAAATAATGTCAAAATAAAAACAAGATTTCCAAACAAGTGTAGCAAAAACTAGTATCTATTACAAAGGAGATAAATTCAACTTTCCAATTGTCAACCTCCAATTTTTTAGCAGTAACATGAAATGCTCCGTCGTATACCGTTTGTAAAACTCAATTAATACGTTACGCTCGTGCACTTTCTCACCAAATGGACTTCGTTTAAAGGGCATTATTGCTCTTTACACAAACACGGCTCTAACAGAGTTATGATGTAGGAACGACTGAAATCGGCACTACAGATGTTTTACGGTCACCATCACAAATTGGTAGACCGATACGATGTGTCGGTGTCTCAACTAGCGACATGTTTTCGTGGTTTGAGATCTTAAGATACAAGTATAGCCGCCTGATCTGTAATTGTACCGATTGTTTCCAATTCCCGATTGTGAATGAGTGTGGATTCGCATGGATCGTGATGCATGCATAGCAAAAGACGTTTACAATGTCGTCGCTCCTTTAGAGTTCATGCATCTTCTCCAGTTTTCATGTTTCATTTGATGATTTGTCTCTTCTTAATCGATGTACAAGATTTGAACATCGGGTAAGTACTGTTGCCCTAAATGAAAATCTAAAATGAAAACTTACACAGCCGATAATGCGCATTTGGTGATGTCATTTACGATAAAAAAAACCGGGGGATTTGGGTTACGCCGAATGGAACGAATCCGTTTCTGCTGATGATGTGTTTATTTGTCTTTTCAATCAAATTGCAATAGCAACAACATATAACACACAAGTTTTGTAAAAGGAATCAAGTTATATGAGCGAGTCATGAGTTTATGTCAAGCAAGAGCTAATTTTATTTCAGCTAAATTACAATGGGCGTGAAGATATACATATGGGCAGAGGGAGGAGGAAATGTAGGTCATGGATCGATGACCCTAGGCGATGGAACCCATATCAGCTGGTGGCCCAAGGACGACAAAGCGAAATCTGCCAACCAAAGATGGGTGAGTTTAGTTTCAGAATTACAAACTTTCTATTCAAAGCAGTGACCTGATTTGATTTATCAGCTCTAATAAGTCTGTATTAGGTTTTGGATTTTCAAATATTTTGGCTTCGAGAATCACCGAGGAGACAATGATTGGCGAGATGTGCATCTGATGCAGTAAATTTGGTATAGTTTATTTTATTACTACTACATCATGTACATGGCCGATATTTCTGCTGGTAGACTGTTACCTACTCTGTGGTAGGACATCCTGGTACTCGGTCAAGTAAGGAAAAACAAAACATATAATCGGTGCATTATAGGAGGAAAGTTTACTGTTTTTCGATGATTTTGTGATGTATAGAAAACATAAAACAGTTATTTTTTTCCAAAAATTGTACCGAATGTAAGTTTTAATTTACTTTTTATCTTGCTATTACTTGACCGAGTACCAGGATGTCCTACTGCAGAGTACGTAACCCGTAGAAAAATTATATAATCCGGAGTCAAAAGTCGGTTATATGATAATAGTCTATTTGATAAACATAGATAACCAATACCAAAGCGGAAGCGGATAGGTCTTTCCAGAGTCCAAATGACCTGGATGTAATGACCTATAGGTCAGGGTAGAGCGCCTTCAACAAAGAATAAAACAAATACCGTATCGTCTTGACATAGCATAAACAGCACATGTGACATTAAATAAAAATGCTAATAATCTAATCTTTATACTGGATATTTAAACTTCACAAAAATCATTTTTAAGAACGATGTATACCCGGATCGTCACGATGTTCTATTAAAAAACAAATTAACTGTATCCATCAGGAATTGGTTTACCGATACAATGTATTTGTGTCTTAACTTATTAGGAACATTTTTTTCGGTTCTTAGATCTTCAGTTACTAGTATAATCGTTTGATATATAATTCTGACGATTGTACCCGGAGTATTAACAGCTCCGTAGCCAGTACAAAAATGAACACATGGATATTGTGTTATTGAAGTCGGAGAATAATTTACTACACCATTACCAAATGAAAAAAAGACAAACAGTCTACGAAACAATATACAAGAACTTAAAATATGCGCAACACTTATATCACAGACCCCATCAGCAACCAGAAACTGGCGGTAGTTTCCTGTGCGCTGATCAGTTAAGCAGACAAAGATTATGACAATAAATCGTCTGCTGTTATATGTATGTTTAAAATGCGTGATAATGAATCATTTAGTAGTTCTAAGTCGCTATTTTCTTGTGTAGCTTTCCTTAGAGAACTGTTAACGTTTTTGATTCGAGCGTCACTGATGAATCGTTTGTAGAAAAATTCTCTATTTTATGAAAAGTAGATCTCTGTATATTTATGTTATAGACATCAGTGGAAGCAGAACCAGCAACTTCGTATGAACAAGATGTTGAATGGGAAGGAAAACCAGCTGATTTCATATACAAAATTCCTTCCGGAAAACTTGATGAGGCAGCAATAAAATCATGGTGGAATGAATTCAAAACAACAAACAGATATCACATTGTTTTTAAGAATTGTTGCAGTGCCGTATACAGCGCTTTGCAGAAAGGTGGAGCTGACAAGATAGCATCGTTTCCGATGTCTCCTATTTCAACACCAGCAAACCTGAAGGAATATGCTGAGAAACTACAAAAAGCTACAAAATAACAAACATTAAATCAAAGGACAATGAACAGCGCTGATTTTATTATATAACCAAAAATCATCATATGACATCGTTTCATCATAAGAGTGTTTCTTGTACTCTTGCGTAACTCCGCTTAAAAGTTTTAAAAGTTGATGGATTAAATCAACAAAGCGACATATATAATTAGTTATCAAATAAAAAAAAAAGTGGACAATATTTTGTACTGAATGTCCTTTCTTTTGTCTCCACTATTGCCGCTGTATCACGATTCTCATATACTGATTTTCATGTTCCGGAACATTCCCTGATTTAACTTCAATTCTACGTCAGTTGACCTATGTAATTTCCAAATCAATCTCATTCAGTAAGTCACTTGGACCTCCAATTATATATCCTTAATAAGTAACAGGTTTATCGATATTTCCTCTTTTTATCTTATAAGGAGTTCCTACAGATAACATAAGTTAGTATTGAATCTGAGATGACGAGATGTATACATATTGATTTACACGACCGATTAAGAACAAATTAGTTGTCAAACTGTGTTTTCAATTTCTTGTACAAAACAAAATGAATACGAAATTGTAGTAGTAGTAGTAGTAGTAGTAGAAGTAGAAGTAATAGTAGTAGAAGTAGTCCTCTCAAAGTATATTACATGTAATTTCAGCGTCCTCAAATATGACGTTTTTGGCCCAATAGAACGTTTAAATCAGTTACGATCCCATAAAACATATTCAATTATGATGATATGGTCTTATGATTGCCTATTAGGTATTTGAATTCTCGGCGTCCTCAAATATGAATTTTTAGACCAACTAGGACGTATAAACAGTAACGATCCCATAATAAATATAAAATGTTGATGATGTGGTTTTAGAATTGCCTATGAGATTGATGGATGCATGGATGTCTAAATGGAACAGAAAATAAAAACGAGTAATTAGTCAATGACACAACAACCGAACAAAGCAGAAAACAGCTCAAGGTCACCAATGGGTCTTCAACAAGAAAGAAAATCCATCACCCGGAGCTGAACATGTCACGTGCGGTCTGTGGTTTTGTTAGTTGTTTTTCTTTTTTGTATCGATCTGAAGTGTTCAGCCCTTTTAACTCATTTATTTAGCTTGTTGTTATGTTGTACTGTTGTATCACTGTTCTAGGATATGGCGCCAGCAACCAAGATTAACCTCGCAGCATTCTGTATGTGTCTGTCACAAATCAGGAGCCTGTAATTTAGTAGTTGTCGTTTGTTGCTGTATATAAAATTTGGTTTTCGTTCTTTGCTTTGTTAATAAATAAAGCCGTCAGTTTTCTTATTTGACTTGTTTTTCATTTGTGATTTCGGGGCTTTTATAGCTGACTATGCGATATGGATTTTGCTCATCATTGAAGGACGTATGGTGACCTATAATTGTTAACTTCTATGATTTTTGCCTTTGATGGAGATATTTCTCATTGGCAATCATACTACATCTTCTCATTTTTATATTGAGCTCACCCCTTAACAATAATGTATACTAGTTCAGTGAAATGGACGCCACATTTAACTCCGAAATATTCAAATGAATGAAAATAATAAAAAAAACACACACAAGACTAGCAAAGGTTAGAGATTCCTGATTTTTGACAAGCACAAAACTGCAGTGGGGTTTAACATATTTTGTGAGATCTCGCATTTTTCTTACTCCGAGCGGACCAGTCTTTGCTCTTTAAGCAAAGAAGCAGCAACTATCAATTTTAAAATCTTTGATATGACCCGGCTTGGTGTTCGAAACCACGAGCTCCTGCACTCAAGGCGAGCAAACTACCACTAGTAGTATAATATTAATATTTTAAATGAAACAATAAGAGGATGTATGGCTTGAATTGATACAGTAAAACAAATCAATAATTGATGATTAATAAATGCAACGAAATCATAAAATTTAAGTTTAAAATTTTTTTCAGTTAAGACATTACCGTGTGAATATCTTTTGCAAGCTGTAATTTGAATTAAGTAATAAACAAAATGTATCTAAAGCTCTTAATTTCAGCTGAAAAAAAGCTCGTACGCGTTTTGACCTGAGATTTTCTTCTTGAATGCAAGTCATGACCTGTATTTTCATTTTCAGGTTTACTGGTATAACAAAAACGTCACAGACATTCAACACAACTGACTAAATGATTCAAACAAACATTGTCGCATTTGTTTGTACCTGTTCTAAGTCAGGAACCTGATGTTCAGTGGTTGTCGTTTGTTCATGTGGTTCATAAGTGTTTCTCGTTTCTCGTTTTTTATATAGATTAGATCGTTGGATTTCCTGTTTGAATGGTTTTACACAAGTCATTTTTGGGGCCCTTTATAGCTTGCTGTTCGGTGTGAGCCCAGGCTCCGTGTTGAAGGCCGTATTTTGACCTATAATGGTTTACTCTTACAAATTGTGACTTGGATGTAGAGTTGTCTCATTGGCACTCATACCACATCTTCTTATATCTTTATACACATAAATCTAACATAGACTCCAAAGAAAAAAGATCTGTAGTAGATAGTCAATTTGACAAAAACGCCAACAAATACGTTTTTGTCGTTAGTGGTAACTTGACAAAGACGCCGATAAAAAAGTTATTATTGATAGAACATACCGTCCTAATACAATGTATACAATTTCTCAATGAATTAAAAATTAAGGAAAATATAAACACAATAGAAACAACACTGTAAAACCACTCTATTGTCAACATTGCACATACGAACCAAACAGAATGAAACTAAAATATGATTTGCACTTAAAAAACCCGTGACTTTGATGAAATGTCCCATGTCTGAGGACCGAGTTGTAAAATAAATCAAATGTCTGAATATTAGAAGACTATGAGGCAGGTTGTCTGTAACTGTTGATTACACGTTCAGAAAATAAGATAAAAACTTACTGTGACAGCAATACAAAACATTCATATAACTTGTGTTATATCAAATTTTCGATTTTTAGTTGAAAAACCGGCCGCCATGTTAGATTGATGACTTAAAACTAATGAAAGGATACATATGAATTAGATTGGATTTGATTAACTCAGTAGTTTGGGAAGAGGTGATTAACAAATTATTTGCATACCGAAGATAACGGGAACCAACGTAAATACAAACATATTTTTATAAACTAGATCGTTACTGCTGCGTCTATTTTTGTCTTTATTATGTTGTTTACAGGAGATACATGAATTAACTCTGAATCGACTAATGTGCGTTTAGAAGTTTATTCCACTAGTGATCGTTTTATTTATATTGTAGTTTCGGATATAGCTACTGCACAAGTTAAGTGGGTAATATTTCTTTTTAAAAATTATGAAATAGAACATTTGTTTTTATGTTACGCAATTACATTATGTATTCAGTAGAGAAGCTATACATATCAATTTCTAACAAAATGAGAATATTGTAAAAGTAGAGAGCTAATACTGCATGCATTACTAAAATGAATCATAAGACTAATCGGAAATTTTTTTACGTTTATAGCAACGGTAGCCAATTCGTTTTTAGGCTATGACTGAGTTGGTAGAGCTAGTGACTATAGTTCTTGTTACCATAGTAATAAAAATTTGTATACAAACTCAGGTAGCAAATCTCTACGTGAATGGTGATCAACAACTGTTGCAAGTGTACTGCTCAAAAGGCCAATATTCAAGTTTTAAGAAATGACATTTAGAAATTGTATCAAAATGGTTATTGTAATAGCAGACTTTACTGTTATGAATCACATTTTGGTTAAACTCAGAAAAGAACTAAATTCCATTATATTGATAAATTCAACAACACTTACCGTTATGTTGATGATATTTGTTTGTTAAATAATCTAGAATTGTCTTCTAAAAATATACTACTGAAATTTACCCAAAGGAACTTACTTTAAATAAATCAAATATTTACAGCAATAACTGTCCTTTCATAGATTAAGATAGTTCAGTATGTTTCCAGAAATTCTACACAAAAATTTACGACAAAGGGACGATTTTTCATTCCCTATAATTGTTAATTTTCCGTTTTGGACGGTGAGGTTTCTTTGGCACCGTCTAACATTGTTTATATATCCCAACTCGTTCGCTATGCTCATGTCTGTAGTGATGTGTTGGATTTCAATAAGCGTAATCTTTGTATTACTAGTGAATTATCAAGTCAGGGATTTCGTTAACACAAATTACTTTAAACCTTTACTAAATTCTTCCATAGATACAAAGATTTGTCCTGCAAGTTTGTGAACTTTCCATTTCTATGTAGCAACATTCCAGCCGCGCCTGCATACGGAGTATATATCTCCCAATTGATACGATATTCCCGGCTTGTGTTTCCTATCATGATTTCCTTGATAGAAGATTGCTGCTCACAAGGAAGCTATTAAACCAAGAGTTCCAAATGGTTAAGTTGAAATCATCCCTTCGTAAATTTTACGGACGCCATCACGAGTTGGTTGACCGTTATGGAATAACCGTTTCACAGATGATATCGGATATGTTCATTATGTCGTAACTACAATACCCTTCCCTTTTCACAAATGTGACTTACCGAATTAGACTATTTACCGGATTTGTAATAACATAAGCAACACGACGGGTGCCACATGTGGAGCAGGATCTGCTTACTCTTCCGGAGCACCTGAGATCACCCCCAGTTGTTGGTGGGGTTCGTTTTGCTTAGTCTTTAGTTTTCTATGTTGTGTCATCTGTACTATTATTTGTCTGTTTGTCTTTTTATTTTTGGCCATGGCGTTTTTAGTTTGTTTTCGATCTTTGAGTTTGACTGTCCCTCTGGTATCTTTCGTCCCTCTTTTCTTCTTTGTCTGTACCTGTAGAAAACTTTTTTTTTCAAACGGAATAGCACATCCTAAATTTCACAGTGGTGTTGTAAACCGAGCCTAGAAATTTATATACGATCCAGATAAATTTATCGATCCTTTAGATAAACTAAATCTCATAGGTTTCCTATTTAACACTGTAATTAAATCTTTGAATTTTGTTTTTTTTTGTATGAATATCAATTTTGTGATCAGTAAATTATAACCATACTAAATATTAATAGAACTAATTCTTCTTAGTAACACATATGTACTTTCACTTTCTGTCGATACCTATAGTTTGGCATTGCACAAGGTAATGTTTTCTCTGACTGTAAATGACTTCTTTACACTAAATCCATTGGATGTTGGATGTGTACTGATTGATATCTAAGTCATTATATACATGAT